TGATTAATTTAACTGCAGTATTACTTTGAATACGTATAAATATGACTCAATGAAGAATTTGTAAATTAAATGTATTACGTTACTGACATGAAAGTATTTGTGGGAATGTTGAAAACAATTTCAAATTTCCAATATATACCAATGCATCCTTCCCAAACACTGTTGAGCAAATGTTAAATTGAATTAATAAATATTCGAATCAGTTATCATATATTGTATATATTCACACTGCTGAAAAGATAAATGTCGATAAAAGAATCATCGACCTTACCAGGAGGTTCTTGTCCGTACTAGGGCATCAATGCCCTAAAATTTATAGGACTTGTTTCAGTGGCTCGTGTCTATAAGTTTCTACGTAGTTTAGAAATCTTATATTCCGTCGATAAGCTGGAAATATAAAATATTTTTTCTGATATAATACTTCGGTATATTTCCTGCAAAGCTTGATCTGTAAATCTGGTTTCAATCTCAAAACACTTTGATATTTTCATTCCTTGGATTTGATCACGGCATGAAAGACATCAGAAACGGTTCTAAAATTAGTAAAAGTTTCCCGTGGATTTGCTTTTGCGTGGTGATTTTCAAAATAAATGAAACTGATTTACTAAAACTATGCAAATAGTCAAGTACGCGATTTCATGACGCACTTCCCGTATAAATAGCGATACATTATGGCAAATGCCGAATAAGCATTATCAAATTTCTATGTATAAGTTTACAAGCGTTTTTCGCTACTTGGAAATCAGACGGGAATTATCTGCGCACGGAGAATAAAACGAGTGGGTTCAACATCCGCCGTGTAAGTTGAACGCTATTGTACAAAGTGAATCTACTTATAAATGAGAGGTACTTGTGTCGACTTATTATGTCTGACTTGATTGCATCCAAATCACTTCGGACAGTTCGCCAAGTGAGCCGATGCATTTTTCTCCAGCTTGCACAATTGGCACTCAATGGAGTAGCATAAATAGAATGTAATTATGGATATTTCTGAAAAGTGGTTAGAATTGCTTAAACCAAAAAAAAATTTGCATTTTATATCTTTTGTGCATTGAATGGTATTGCATCATTGATAATTGTATTGTCGCACAATCGTATAACGACTGCGGCTGATACTCGTACAATTACATCCTTTTCAGGTTTTCACAATTTACATTTATCGAACCATATTTTTTTTTCACTTACGATAAATCAATATCATAGCAAAAACTCGAAATGATTGACCACTATAACTTTCAAAAGTCTTTCATTAATTTAGAAATAATTTATCTTTAATTATTTTATCCATTGCCATAATGATCGTCTTCCGGTCGAAATATCTAGTACGCCTGCGGTTACTTTCGCAATCTGGCAGCAGTAATGTCGCGACAGCGGCTTAAGGGTATCAACGGACACGTATGCAACGTCTAAATTTGGATTCTCAGCACAGCGACACGATTTCAGAGCGAAACGAATATGAATTCCAGTTTCTCAGTATCACAGTTTACAGAAAATTCTTGGATACAACTATAGAGAATTTTACGAGAGGAAGATTAAATAAATATATGGAAAGTTTCGAAAAATAATTGGGAAAAAAGATATATATATATATTTATATAACTACCCTTTCATTCGGGCAAAATCGAATTCCGGCACAGCCTCATTGTTCTAGTCGATTTACGTAAAAAGCCAATAAAATTATCGTGCCGCTTGAAATTCCGCAACAAATCCGAGTACCCGTTCAGTTTCGACACGTCTAATTATTAATTGTGATCGATCCGTAAAGCAATCCTGGCGTAACGAAAATTCAACAAAAGTAAAAGGTAACTCGACATAGTCGTAACCATGGAAAACTATCGGTCTTGGACGTTTAACGCCTTTTGTACGTTTTTCTGATTATCAAGTTGCGGAAAAACTGGCCTGATTAAAAAAAATGAAATATAGTCAAGTCAACAAAATGTTGAGATATAATATAAAGGTAAGTAAAACGAAAAACGAAAATTTGATTAAACTCGCAATAAATCGCAATTAAATAGCCTGTGACTAACGTCTGCTCCTGGTAAGCGCACTGACGCCAATGACTCAAGCATCCTCCCCATGAGTTTTCTAAGGCTCAAAGTTTAATAAACCGTACGCTAAGGCGAACTATTGTTAGAGACTCAATGTCATGGATGGATATTGGAGCCTGCTGTAATTTCGAAGTTTACCTACTGTATACATATATTCGTACACAGGTGCTCTTAAAGAAATTAAGAACGCGTATCTCAAGAAAGTCATTGGAATCAAGATATTATTATTTCATTTAGAGACTTTTTCTAACTTTTGTATTCCTTGACCCGAATCGATAAACCACCTGCGCACTCATACGGTAACATTAAGTTTTCTATGAGGTAGAGTGAGTGGCTATTGTATATGGTGGATATAAGGTCCCCCTTGATATTACACAATGTATGAGGATATAGAATGGACGCGATGATCTTTATGGGTTACAGGTATCTTATCATTATTTTGAATTTGACTTTCTAATATATTTAGGTCACCCAATTTCCTTTGATATTCTACAGTCTCGTGTTCGATAATCAAATTAATTGCTCGGTACGACTATTTAGGTAAAATAGTGTATTAGTTTAGGGCTGCTTATACAGGGTGTAAAGTTTTTGTTAATTTTTCCTTGCCGTTTAGTTTGCTTTTGATTTAATTATGTTTATCGGTTAATTGGTTTCGCCGTGTTACGTTGAAAATTGTTGAGTAAATTTTGTTTGACATCAACGAATTCTCTGTCTTTTCACTGGTTGGAACTATTTTTCTGTCATCGGTAGACAATTCACACTTTGGAAAACGGCAGGAAAGCTAAACAAGGTGATGCACCTAGGATAAACAGGAAAGATTAGACTCCGACTTTCGGAGCGGAGTAAGTTTCACTTGAAATTCCATAAATTCTATTTTCGGTTTCGGCTCGACGTTATTCGGAGAAAGTACGAATTTTGGCTGGGCGAATGGAACCTTTGGTTTTTCAATAATTTTTTTTTGTTATAGTCGCTATATTGCTTTTGTGCTCCTTTTTCTTCATTACACCGGTTATTTTTGGATCCTCTCGCATGTGAACGTTGCAGATGCATCTCGGGCGCGGCTTTACTCTGGATGCGGTTCACTGCTACTGGATGAAATTTTTATAACGTGCAGGTTTGTTTTCGTGCAGCCAACCGAGATGAACGACATTGCACCCTGATAGTGACATTGGGCTCGTTATCGATATTCTATACTTGATGCACATCGATGCATCCTGCAATTATTTCAGTACGATGCAGTCTGTCGAAAATTATGATACAGTCAATTTTTACGAAAATTTAATTTTTTAATGAAAAGTTTCCCTCTGAAAAATTTTCCCCCTGAAGACGGAAATTTATTTCAAAATTTTCTATGGCGACAATACGTGTGGTATAGGTACTACGTATAAAATAAAAGAATTTTAACTATTTACGTGCGTCATTACAAAGAATTATTTATTTAGGTAACTTATCATCTCCATTATTGTTTCATCCCCAATGAACCATTTTTTCTTATTTCGTGTAAAGAGGCCTATCAATAAGTCGAGTCAATACACTCGGTGTACCGATACTTAGAAAACGTTCGAAGGTGTATTTACCTAAGATGAAAGACAGTTCCGAGTGTCTCACGCTAGAATCCACATATCCCCCAGACACCCCTGAAAATTCGTCAGACCCTATTTTTTCACCTGTCCTAAATGTAGAGCGACCTCTCCATAAAGTGACCTCTTTTCAACTCCCCGAAATCAACAATAGGACGAATCCGCTAATATGTCGTCACACGATACCCCAATACTTATTCTTCCCAGATATTTTCCGTAGTTTACGGTTGTTGGCTTAGCGGTAAGAAAACCAATATATATAGGTGGCTAGTGTACACCCGGTATAGAAAAAAAAGCAATAGGCACTTTTCAGGTCGCCATGCAGCTACGTTACACTCCGAGGGTCTCGAGAGCCTTTACTACCCTTAGGGCATTACGTGAACTTTTACGGTGCGACATTTTAAAAAGCTCAGACCGTACTCGAGTGAACTGAATCGAATATACTTTTTATGGTGTCGCATAATAGGAAACCCTTTTGCCATATTTCCTATTGAGCCATTAACGTCGCGTCGCATTATTATGGCTCGCGTCACTTTCTGGAATTCGTCTCCTCATCCTCATTCATTCTACATGGCGACAGTCTAATTGAACACCGTAACCACCTACGTTATATATTCAACTGCGTTATTTACGAAATCTAATTTGTCATGGATCACCCGCTAGATACGATCACGAAACAAGACGCCTTATGGTTAAACGACGCGAACCAGACTCCTCGAGCTTCTTGTGATCGTTGAATTTTTCGGTCGGCGCTCGGATGACTCATTAGGACAATGGGTCTTTATCGGGACGATATATAACAATCTACTTTCGGCAAGAACTAATCATGACATTGACTTTAATTGATTCTGAACGACACAAGCATAAGATAATGTCCAGGACAGAACCTACGTTGAACGTGTACCATGAAAGATATATCTTCACATGTTATGTAAATAGAAAAATAGATAATTATTGTAACATGAATTTTTATATACTGAAACTACCATTCACGTCTATTCTTGTGCAATTAAATAAAAATTAAATATTAATTGTACTCGTCCATGCTACTGCAATTAAAATTATTAAATGAGTTACTAATGAAACTATTGGGTTTCCTTAATCACGATAGAGGTTAGACATTCTCTTTGTACTTTACACTAAATGTATCAATTTATATGATATAAAAATTCAATCGAATATCCTTTCTACATCTTACCCCATAATTGTATCATAGAAACGTATTCGTAGAAACGCATCTTGTCTCAGTCTGGAAAGCATCCTATAACGTGAAGGATGCAACAAGCAGTAAGAAACGGAGGAAGAAGTGTATATGTACAGTGTGGTGGGGGAAACTGCCGGTAGAGCGCAGTGTTCGTTGCCAGATGACAGTTAGTCGTTCAGCGTTCGTGCGCCATGGCGTGCAGGGTTACTTATGGCGCGTATTATAATAACCGGGGCACTGCTCGTGCCTAATGCCGATATTCGATAATTTTTTGCTGTGTTAATGAGAGATGATAATACATCCGGAGGCGCGATAGAGAAGTTGATATAAGATAGAGAACTAGAAATTCACTAAGCGCTAGCTTCGGTATATCGAGAGAAAATATCGTCGTTAGTCTTTTGTGTTTACTATCGTGAAAATATTTTTTTCTTCTTGTCTCGCTTGGCTACCTAAACTGTTTACACTAAGATAGCATTGAGATCTACGAGCTACGACGTGGACAGTGAACGATCGTCAATAGAAGAAGCAAAAAGTTGTAATGTGAATATTGCTGTTGGACAAACAAGCCTGAAACGATGAAAGTAGTTGAAATGGGTTTGATTTGGAAGCGAGTGATCGGCTCCATTAATTAAGATACTGTGAATCGAGATATGTAGTGAACACGCAGTGTCGTACTTGTGTATGAAGTTAGTGTTGTAATTTATACGTATGTTAAGTGTATTTTGATTTTGCGGTTATAATTGTAAACTCGGCGAGTGTTAATACTTACTGAGTCCATTTGTTAATTATTTAAGCAGTCTGGAACTGTCGTGGATTTGTCTTTGTAATTGATGGTGTATATAACGAGAAGTGATAATTGGAAAATACAATAATTGTGAATTTAAATATTTATTAGGCTGCGATAGGTGGCACGTAATTATCACAGATCGATCGGTGCAATTTGAAACTGGCGCCGTTTGCCGATCAGAAATGAATACGGAAAAGTGTACGCTCTGAGAGGGAAATGAAGAAACTGAAGTAAAAGAAGAAAAATTCTACTAAATACGGCTAGAAAGTAAACAGACTTTTACGTCAAGAAAATCTCTAAGACGATGGCGTCGCCAGTCTAATAAAACGACAGACGGACAAATTAGCAGCTGCCACTTGATTGGACCTCTTTATTTTTCTCTTATTTCTATTTTCACGGAGGGAGAGCTTGCGTCGTCACACGTGTGAATCCACGCCGTGTCCGATAGGTTTCGAATCAAGATTGTGTCAGTATAGCAAAACAAATTGTGAGAAAGTGAAGTGCATTTACCAACCATGTTCTATCCCGTTAGATAAAGGATTAAAACCTTCCAAATTCGGCAATATGATGATGGCACCACAGGTCGTAGGTGTATTGCTGAAAAAACCAGGTCAGCAACGTCACCCACACGTTCCACCTCTGGATCCTCAGGAAACAAAGATACGAGGTAATTATCATAAGCCATTTTCATTGTTCGATTGAAAAAAAAAATTATAACATTAAATAAATTAAACAGTTGTACACCAAGGAAAGAGCGTCTCTCGATATATCTTCCCCAAATGTCTAAAGTTACCCCCGAAAAACCCATGGAAACCCTTTATTTACTTAAAAACTGCCACGTGTACAAACACAATTGTATCCCGTATATTCAATTATATAAAATGTCTCATCTTCCTCAAAGGAAAGCATACATTAGTAATAAGTACACGTCATTACGTGCTACTGCCTGTTCCTATTGCCATGTTGCCGTCAGATAAGTTAACGTAGCGTCACGGGGACTGACGTGTATGGGGTTGTTAGTCGCGTGTGCTCCGGAATCGAATAAACAAGGGAAAACGGGTCAATCGCGGTTTGGGTACGTGGTCGACTCTGACCTTTTCTCCATGTATAAATATAATTACTACGAACCCTTTCTCTTTTCTAGTAACGGAACCCTATTAGCTCTTGTTTATTGCGCTGCAGCCTTTTGCCCCGTTTTATAATGTCGTCCAGGTAAATCTTATAGCTCACAGCTCACAGGTAATAGCCCCATAAGCTCAAAGTTTAAAGTCTACGGGACAGCTCCATATAATATCGTTCGAGGACCATATGGCTATATGGATGGATTTAATATTCCACTCTTTAGATACATACTTTTTCATTCCAGATCCTCTTTGAAACTTTGCCCGTTCTACTGTGCATGGAGCCTTGGTATATCAGCGTCTGATCCTTCCTCCTCTCCCTATTCTGTCAGGATAATTCGAACAGGTCCTGCCCCTTGATTTTTCAAAGATGCATGCAGACATATGAGGGATCGGTAATACCTAATCCCTGTGACTGCAAGGGATTTTCTTGTCCTACCCTAACCCTGTATTCTTTGTTACGTCTTGTCGGTCGTAAAAGACGAAGCGTGAGATATCAGAAGGATCAAAGAATGGAAAACTTCCACATACCGTACTATGAGTAATAAAACGAGAGATTCTTTGGTGACAGTTGAAACTATGTGTATATCCTGTTGCCTTTTAGGATCCTTGGTCAACAGCGTCGACTACTGAAATTTTTACGATTATTTCGTCGCTATTGTGACTGAAGCAGTACCGGGCGTTTAAATTGTGTCCCCCGTTTCCGTGCACGTCTACGATCTTCCGATTCTCTATCGGTGCATGGTGGTCCTCTGTACATACATATACTATATATGTTTATAAAGGTTTCCAGCTCCTACCGTTTCGTCCTTTATGAATCGGCAGGACCTCCTGCCTGCTTCTAACCTTCATCCCCATTCCTCTCTTGGTCCTTTGAATCTTTCACTAGTGTAGGAATTTCCACAAAATATTCAGACCCCCCTCCCATAAAATAGTTGCCAAAGAAGGGCCAGTCTTGTAAGTGCACGCGTAAATGGCTTATTGGACTTTTAAAGGAGTCTAGTGCGTGACGTAACTGATCTCCAACAAATGGACCATACACACGTTAAAATGCATCTGTACCCTGTGTATACGTATGAATGTCCCGCATTCTTCCTGCTGAAAGCCTGTATTTAAAGAAAATTCGAATAAGCCGCAAATAAGGAGAATACAAAATCCACACTAGTCGTATAATAATGTCTATACGGAAGTGTCCTTTTGCAGAAGGACCTCGGCCGTTACGCTTAGACGCTCGAATTATTCGCCGTGTAATTTCGAAAAGTTAAGTAAAACCTGGTAATGTACGTTTACGCTCGATCGGCTTACCGGGCGAAGGCTATAACTGGTAAGCATCTGACTGGATCAGAAATCGATCCACCTTCACTGTAGACTGGATAAGAGAGAGACGGAGAGAATTGAATACAACCTTACCCGACATTTTACTATTGGGTGTATGTATTATACATACGTATCTCATTTGAGATCTTTTTGGAGAAGGAATTTCTCACGCAAACTATATACGGTGTCGAATTATCAGTTGACCAGAACTCGTGCACGTCCATTGATACAAATTTGACCATTCTAATTGTCAAAACAAATTCCTCACTCGGTTCATCTCCATTGACATAACTGTCCCTGACGCTTGCTCTCGTCCCGAATTCAATAAGCGAATTGGTCGCGGCTCGGTGTACTTTTTTGAACGACGCCATTTTTCGCTACTTGTTGCCAACATTAGTTTCGCTCTCGCTTCGTACGGAGGCTAGATTACCATGTACCATAAGTAACTCCTTTATTCGTATCTTATGTATTGCATTATGTTCTATGGTATACACTGTATAGGCATACTGTTTTGTATAGGTATATGGATACGGACGTAGGTTGCGGCCGAAATCGTACAGTATGTTTAAGAATTCTTGATGACTACTAGAAAGGGGGTCGAGTATCCTCGCAACTCTACCGGGTGTCTCAAAAATGACTGGATGGATAAGTTACGATCCAATCGGATTCACAGATCTCGGTCACAGGGAGATGTCTTTTTTCCCACTTTTTCTCTCCCTCCTTCTCTCTCTCTCTCTCTCTCTCTCTCTCTCTCTCTCTCTCTCTCTCGCTCTCTCTGTCTTTCTCTCTGCCTTTCACTGAATGCTTACACGTGGATACATTCTGTGTGTATTCGGCTATTCCTACTCAATCTCCTTCGCTTCTTCGGTACTATTCTCGCTCCTGTTACCGTTCTTGATCCTTGTTATTCTTTGTCAAACTACTTGTCGCCGCCACCTTACTTGCTGCTGTTCTATCGCAATCGATGTCGTGTAGCTGTCATCAGTAATTTCATGTCGAGTTCTTCTCGGTGTCCGTTTTCACGAATCCGCCCGAGCCGATTCGACGGACAAGTGGCTCTTGAACGTATCTCGCTGCCAGTGGACTAGCAACCTTTTCCAATTGCTATTTCTTCGCTGCTATGGGACGATTAAATAAAGATTATTGGGTGAGGTCGTTGGGAATCGAATTCATCAAATTCAATCAATAGAAATGATACGCGCGATTGCACGATGTGTTGCACTTTTTTTTTATTCCGCGAATTCACTCGTACGTATTTCAGCTATTCAAGTATTATGTATATCATTATACGTGCACGTGGAAAATGTTTTTTTTTTTAATCCTAGGGAAAGCTACGTTGCGATCTGCTCAAAATAAATAATGCTAATTGGAGATTGGGAATTTCGAAAAAAATTGTGAAAGTGATAATATCCATCGGATATCCTCGAAGAGGCTGTATTTCGAATTTCTTTTGACTCTCTGGACGTGAGATAACACGGATTACCTGGAACGGAATAAATTGCCGGATATAAGTGTATGTATATACGGTCCGAGTGAAAGGGATTTTTCGATTAATCGCAAGTCCCGCTAATTACAGTTGTCTGAAAGTTTCGTTACGTTTAACCGGTTATAATGCTAAATGATAATTGCTAACGTCCGGCTGTGTATCGCGGTGAACGTCTGTAAATCAATATAAATAACACGGGCACGAACAGACTGATATTTCCGAAGGCTTCGAGTGACCTTGGTACAGTTATAAAATAAAATGGACAGATGGCAAAGGGCATCCACGTAAAAGAAAATTGTCTTATCTATAGTACATATAACGCGTATGTACGTCATATAAAAATTGGCATGCATAATCGAGGTATCGGGGTTGGTAAAACGTTTCTGTGCTATTTAACGAAAACTGTTAATCCAATTAGTCCCTCGTTAAAGTTCGCCCAATTAGCGGAAAGAATTGTACAAGCCAACGACCGTTAATTTTGAACGGAACGCACACACGCACGTGTATGCGTTTCCATTGGCGCGATACTGTCGCCCGTGTACCCCGTATATCGTCGTCTCATGCGCATACATACAACTCTCTGATATCACGGTCCACCCTGTTATCGCAACTGGCTGCCTCCTGCGATAAAACATCCGGACTAACTTCTCCATTTCTCTTCGCGCTGGACTCTCGTTTCTATCTACGTACGCAACGAGTAGAGTTCCACGCTCCGTGCAAGCTCAGGAATTCGCTAGGACGATGTCTCTAGATTATTATTATTGTTGTTGGTGTTCGCGTTGTTAATGTTGTTATTATTATTTACTTGAACGGATTTATGAGAAATTGAAATAAAATTGATTCTTACGTTAACGATATTCGAACTATTGGTGATAATTGGTCACAAACCTCGTTTGTCCCGTTAAGCCCGATTTCTATGTGCCGATTAGCAAGGATTCTGGTTCCTCGGGAACCAGTCGTTGAGAAAAGCGGTTGTGAAAATGTACTTGTCTAGATTGTAGAGTTGCGACGTCGTCCAAGTGACCACGTCTCGGTGCACACGTTTCTTATGTCTTTAAATAAAATTGCATGTACTTGCTTTACAATGAAAGATGTGCGCCGTAGGAATAAACTAAATTCATAAGGTTATATATATAAATTTTTTATTTCCTAATACGAAATTACAAATATCTAGATTTTATGTGGATCACAAATTTTGGCAGTCCTGTTTTATTATTTTCGCATATAAAGTCGCATGGTTCGTATCGAGCATCACAATCGTCCAATGTAAGATTTGTACAATCTCTTTCTATCTCAGGCTGGCACTTTGAAATAAAATTGAACGAACAATTGTGCAACTTTCTCCGTATTATTCTTTGCCCCTTCCTGTTTCATATAAATTATCTTTATACTTATCTAAACGTCATGAGCTCGTATTAAGCAGTAGATAGTGATATTTTGAAAAATCCTATTCGCTCTACGTACAAGGCTTGCGGCGGAAGAGGCTGTTGGAAACAATTTAATATTCAGGTTTATTGCCTCCTCCATCTGTGTTTATTATTACGATGATCCTCGTGGGGTCGTCAGTACTTATGGCATTATTTTCGAGATATGTCAAAATGCTTGTTAAAACATAAAATGGCCTTTTCGCTTTACTATAAATTCTCAATTCAGTATCCGCATTTTCTCGGGGGTACTTAAAGACCCCAGACCGCTATTGTTTCGAGTGGTAGTACATACATGCATTGGCATTTAATTCTATAC